AGATTTTTACTGGAAACGAAATGGCATCGGTGTATAAGTCGAATGCCGACTCTGAATTTTCTAAGAAATGAATCCTTCTGTGAATGTGGGAGGAAAGGAAAAAACGGAAATATCCAGGCAAAATACGTACGGTATACCGATTGGAGAAGCAATTACAATAGCAGTTGAGAAAATATGGCAACAGAACAAGAAGAAAAAGTTTATAATAATAACAAAAACGGGGCTTTTTATTCGATTCAACCTTGCCTCACGTAATATTCAGTTTCGTTTCTATCACAAATTCTATCGCCAGGATGATGGAGTTTCTATGGGAAGTCTGCTAGCTCCAACTCTGGCGAATTTATTTATGGAAAAATTAGAAAATGAATATATACTAATGGATATCCAGCACGATTGGTAGAATGAATTATTAAAACGACATTCGAAAGATATACTAATAATATCCTTTTCAACCCGTCGAAAAACGCTAATAAATCTCAAAGCAAAGTGGAAGGCAATGTTTGTTTCTATTACCTGAGTAACGAGTCAAGGAAATTTGTATCGAGCATAAAAAGAACTTTGATTAAATATGGAATTACAAACATTAGCTTCGGTTTTAAAAAATATCAAACAATAAGCAGTACTTTCTCACATAAGTATAAAGGCAAAGATGAAAGGAAAGTAGGAGTTGTCTATTGTATATAGTGTAATGATTGTGCTAATATTTACGTCGGTCAAACTGGAAATGAAACTGATACTAGAATGGATCAGCATAAAAAGACACTAAACAACTCAGTTCAAAACTGTTCGTTCATGCCACTGAGAACAACCACACATTAGAACTTGACAAACCATGTATTTTGGCTTATGAAAGAAATGAAATCAAAAGATTACTAAAGGAGACACTGATAACATATCAACATAATAACCTGACATACAATGATATATCACTAAAGAAGGTCATATCCAACTAGACGACAAAGAAAAAGTAGAAAAATAGAGAAATCACAACTAGAAAATTCCTTATAGAAAAATCTCTGTATATATTTGTCTCTCTTCTCTCTCAAAAGTCATTCGTCTGATGATGATACTGTGATAATGTCGAAGGCTCGCTGTTTGTATGTAAAATGATTTTACTTAAATTCTTTTCTATAATTTTGAATATGCTATGTTTCATTTAAAACGTAAAAAAGTCAAAAGGCATCAATATACTCAATTACGGTTAAGTGAGTAGTTAGCCCGTTGATTTGAAAGAACCCAGTTAGTGCGCCTTACTCGAAAGAATACACGCTTAGAAAATAGCTGGCTTTGGACTTCTGGGTCAATCTCAGATGCGCCTTAGGCCAATACCCAGGAAAAAAATTTACGAGATTTTCCACAAGTTTTGTTTCAGAATCCGTTGGGATAAATCTGGAACAGATCTTGTCAAGATATTTCAAGAATTCTGAAATGATTGATTTAATACGCAATAATCAGAATCTTCATTAACAGATTTGGAAATTTGAAAGAAAATCTTAAACTTTATTTTCTACTTTATACTTTCATTTTTTTCTACTGTGTCATCACAGTGCCAGCTCTACGGTACTATGCATACAGTACCAGAGCTGTTGAAAGTGCACGAGCAACCATACATTCAAACACAATGTTTGAATTTCACTTTCAAAATTTTCAATGTTCTGTAGTGCAAGTATTTATTCTTATATATGCAAGAACAATATCAAACAAAATGGTGATTGAAAGAATAATACATTTATTTATCTACCCTATCGATCAACAGAATTTTAGCAGAAGTCCTCTGCACTGTAGTGTTACAATAACTATAAATAAATGCAAAATTGGCATATTTACATTTTTGTCGAACCTCTGAGTCATGTCCTAATCAAAATGATTGCTAACTTTCTTTGTTAGCAAAGATTTTGTTAATTACAGAAAAGTTTTAAAACCTTGTCAAGATCTTGATCAAGATTTTTGCAGACAGATTCCTCAAAAAAACTTGACAAGAATTGTTGAACATTCTTTGAGATCATGAAACTTGACAGATCTTGTGCAGATATAAACTTTCTGCAGGACAGGGGCGTACGTATAAGCTCGTCAAAAAACGGACTGTTAACCCTAGAAAATCGATGTAAAACGGCGCGTTAAATCTGCATTAACGATGTAAAAACGATATAAAAGCGGGTCGTAAGACGATGCCACTTAGCACTGTAAAAGCAGTGTGTGACGGTATAAAAACGGTCCATTAAAATAGACTAAAGGGGCCGTCAACGCGTCGCTGACGTCGCACACTGCTTTAATGATCTGGGCACTTAACTCTCATGCAAGAGGTGACAAACACAGCGAAGAAGAGAGTAAGGGATGTTATACGATTTAGATAGTAGAAGGACAGCAGAATGCTAGAGACTGGCGAGAGGGTTAATCAATTATTATTTAAATGAAGTATAGAAAAACTGTCATGATATAAGACAGTCAATGAGATTCGAGCGGACACTTTCCTTTAAGTATATCATCTGATGTTGACGGAAGATAATTCGATTTATTTCATAAAATTCTCTATAGTTTCCTTCCAAATTTTTAATAATAGCAGTCATTAAAATACTGTTACTGTATACTGAATGAGGTGTAGAAATGATTGAAAGTATAAAATAACATTTTATAAAAGAATGATTTTCAACTTTTAGATTCTAGTGCATGTTGTTAGCTCTTTTTAATTAATGCAAAAGAAAAAAATAGGATCGTTATTTCCAAAAAAGAGAGCATGGTTTATTGAATGATTGGTGGTGATGGTACAAGACCTAGACTCCTGTTTGTAAATTAAAATGATATTGTCGATTTATCTCTAACTGAAATCCGAACAAGTGTTATTACAGTTTACTTTAAGTTCAATTTTTGTTCTATTTCACGTTTGTCATTTTCAATCTGTTCAATGTATTTATGTGATGGAGGAAGAGTTTTCCGATATATGTGAGTAGCTTTTTCATAATATTCCATTGCTTTTGTATAATCATGCATACCTTTATATGCATGACCAATATGATGATATGTCAATCCAATATCATAATGGGAAGATGGCAAATGGATTCGTTGGATCTGAAGTCCTTTATCATAATATTCCAAAGCCAATTCATATTCTCCTCTGAGACGATGTGCTGCGGCAATATTAATATAAGTCTTATCAAAATCGGGATGATTATCATCAAGTGTTTTCTCTTGAATTTCTAGTGCTTTTTTATAATAATTTAGAGCAGCATTATAAACTTTTTTACCCAAATAAACATTCCCGATATGCATATGACATTGAGCAACATCTGGATGATGAGAGGAATATAATTTTTCTCTCAACTCCAAAGCCTTTGTTTGGCTGTATAATGACTTATCATAATTTTTATTACGATAAGCAGCAAATCCTAACCCAAACAATGCATCAGCCATTGCTATCTGTGATTCTTTTTCATACTGTTCATAGTAATTGGCCGCTGTGTCATATTGACCCATTTCTATTAGGATCTTCCCCAATGAATTTAAATTTGTTTCTTCACCAATTTTGTGTTTCATATGGGAAAATAAATCTTTTAAACCATAATCATCTTCACTTGCTAGTGAAACCATCGCAATCCATAATTGTTCTTTCTTATCATAAATAATTTTTTCAATGCGAAATATAGTACCTAACTTTATGAGTACCTCATCTTCACCTCCAAACCAGCTTAAATGTTTAACATCAGCAAAATCTTTCGTTAAACGTATATCAATATTAATTTCAAATAGAATCCTTTCTGTATTGGGCTTAACATCAGATTGAGAAGCAAACTTAAGTGCGGTTAGACGACTTTTACTTGTAGATAGAAAACAACTCATTGAAATAAATTCATTGATATTTAATTGCATCAGATTTAGTTCATCAACACTAATTGATTGACCACGATAAACTTTAATTATTGAACTACTATTAGAACTTTTATCTCCCATGGTAGCATAGACAAAGCGTTCATTTTCTTTTTTAAGCTGTTTAGCAATGTCCGTAATAAAGGATCGGAGTACAAATATGGTACCGAAATCGTGTATGCGTAAAGCTTTATTCAACATACGATACAAGCATGTATTGCGTGTGTACCACCGTATTGCATCGTCCGGTTTATATTTATGTTCAAATTCAGCGATCATTTCTTCCTCTGATTCATTTCCGGCATAATTTTTCTTGCAAAAATTAATTAATTCATTCCTAGACGATGATGTATGATACATTCGTAACAAAACTTCAATAAATAATTGAAACCACAAGAAATTGGCATTACGTGATTCAAGACTGCTGTTGTTGTTAATATCATTACGTGTAAAAAAGGATATTGGTATAATGTCATCAGCTTTAGATCTAGCGGTTTGATCGGCCGCGATTTGTGCAACCAGTTCATCACGCCGAACGAACACGCCTTTAATCTAAAAGAATAGTAAAGCTGTCAGTTCTAGGAAATATAACTCCACAGTGAACGAACTTTGTGCCGCAGATGGAAGAAGAGAACTAGACATGCGAGTCGAGGATACGAGAAAAATTTAAGACGACAGCATTGTAATCAAGCGGCTGGAAGCTCTGTAAGTTACAGGTCTTCTCATTGCTAAATAGCATAACTTCGAGATCATCTTATTGTGTCAAACCGTCAGACTCTTTGCGTCAGAGTATAGAAGCCGGTGGCTATAGGGATATACTGCAAGGCTAGATTTTGTTCGTCGGTATTTTAGTTTTAGTACATCGTCTTCTCAATTATTCCTTTATTTCGAAACAAAACTATGAATTTTTCTAGCAAACTTCGTTCGGTGGAATTTTGTAATCTCGCTTTATGTTACTAATATTAAAAGTAAAAACATACTTTTGAGTAAGTCTTAGCCCATTCCTCATTTCTTGTTTTATCTTGACAATAGACATAGCAGCTACTAAACTGCTGAAGATTATTAATACGTGGAATGATTTGACTACCAAAACCACCAGAGACAATTAGCACAATCTTCTCATTGCATATTTGTTGAATGTATGATTCACATTGTTCGATATTATCAAATGTTTTAATATAATTAATAAGTTGTTTAAGTTCTTTTAATGTCTTGATATTGTCCCGTGTCTTGCTAATATTACCATCAAGCCATATCAAAACATAAGACTCCAAATTTGGAACCGGAAGATTTTCAGTGGAAGCGATCGATACTTCGTTTGGTTTTTTCGGAGCACTAGCTGTTGATGATGCAGCAGTAGTAGCAGCATCAGCTGATGGTTTCTTCGTAACAGGCGTTAACAACTTTTTACTCATTTTCGTATATGTTGATTCTATAATCAGTCAAATTTATAAAAGTAAAAAAGAAATGTATGATTATCAGTTCAGGTGTGCACGTTAACTTCTAAAGAATTTTATGTAAATAATACTCTTCTTTATGCTTTCAGTACCGTTAAGTGTATCAATCCTCTTTTCCGATAAAAAGGTCGATCTTTGAGTACTATCATGGTTTTGTAGAGTCGACAATACTTAGGTACGAAATAGGAGACTTCTCTCAAGTCTCCGGGACCGATTTGTACCTTAAAAATTATACCGTTTATTAATTTTTCGATACGTTAAAAACTATATAGATAACAGGTGCTTGCTTCATTTTTCTTTATCTTTAAAAAAGTCATGTCTCTGTGAATAAAAAAGATATCTTTTGCTTTGAAGCACGAGTTTACAGTTGAAAGAAAGCAATATCAAAATGATTCTTATGTTTTGAAAAAATATATTAGGTAGGTAGCTAAAAAAGTGCATTTTTTTGTTTGTACTTATTAAAAGTAAAAGAATGTAGTATTTAGCAAAAGAAAGAAAAATTACGTTATAAATTATATAGATGACAGGTGTCTGCTTTATTTTTCATTTTCAAGCTCGTTTAATGACGGATTCTATTGAGATGCCGACATTATAAAATATCGACGAAATAGAAAAATCAATTACCGTGTCGACGAGTCGGCACTGAACCGTTTTTCTGATAATGAACGGGATAGAAGAGTTATGATATTTGTTGATGATTAGAATATGGTTCATTAATCAATAAACTACTTCAAAGTAAACTTGATTCGTTCTACCTGTGAAACAACGAATGCGTTTTGCAGTGCAGTGCAGTGAGACAGTCTAGCTTATAATATTCAAACCTTCACGCCTACCGCTCAGCCATTCTGCTTCGACATCTTCTCCGCTTTCGCCAGTCTGAATAAGAGGCAAAATCTCAAACTTATCGAAAAATAAATAATTAGAATTTATCTCAGTAAGCAGGCATCCGAGAACGTTATGGCTGAAAAAAAGATGTTCAAATCAGATTCTGCATTGAATAGAACCCATAGAGCTCTGCAAAAACTCATGGTTAGCCAGGAGAAGCAGTTACTGTTTTCCTCCGCAATGAGACATCGTGGACTTTCGAGGACACTACAAGAAAGTGCACAGAATCAAATTCTAAATAAAATAGAACACCACCGATTATCCTATAGTTTTCTGAAAACGGGGTTAACTAGCAAGAAAACCGCTAGTTTTGATAATTAACATTTTTTATCCAGAAGGAAGCGTTTGGCAAATTTGGTGCCGCAACCAAAAATGTTAGAAATTAAATTTTGCACATTTTATTTGCTTCAACTTTGTACGATATTTTTGCTACAAGAAATAACTTTGTTGCAGGTAATCGTCAAAATAGATTTTTCTTGTAGCAGCATAGTTTCTTGCATCAAGAAACACCTAAGAAAATTTACATTTTGATTCTTGCTCAAGAAATAGTTTTCTTGCCCCTCTTGTACACATTTCTTGCCCACGAAATGTCCCAAGATCTTGCTTTCTTGGCTTCAAGAACTTTCACTAGGTATGTTTGCCAAAAAGAGGTTAAATATTATTTTACTCTCAAATTGGTTTGAATAGCGGGCGCTGCGAAAAGAATGCAACACGAGAACCTACAAAACGCTATTCTCCAAAGTTTCTGGTCTATTAGAACAAAAAAAGTATATTAAAAGTTAAATGTTTGGAAGTTTTAAACACCAGTCGAAAAATTAATAAACTGTATAATTTTTAAGGTACAAATCGGTCCCGGAGACTTGAGAGAAGTCTCCTATTTTGTACCTAAGTATTGTCGACTCTACAAAACCATGATAGTACTCAAAGATCGACCTTTTTATCGGAAAAGAGGATTGACACACTTAACGGTACTGAAAGCATAAAGCAGAGTATTATTTACATAAAATTCTTCACAAGTTAACGCCTTGTGCTTAGAAGTTTGAAAATAAGCAGATGGGGAAGCTGCCTTCACTTTTCTGGAAAATGTTCCAGGGAAGTATTTATGTTAAGTTTATTAATGGATAAAAATTTTTGAACTGTAACGATAAAAAATATTAGTACCTATTTCTCATGTGAGAGTAAGGGGGGGCTATTTTTAAAAATAGTTGCTGCTGTGATTTTTACAAGGATGTATTTGTCCTTGCTGATCGGCTCGCTCGCAACTATCACGAAAGTAAACTGTTTTCATTTACCGCTCTTCCCTGATATGTTACTGTAAACTAGAAAGCTAATATGGATGATGTTTTGAGGTAGTTTAAGTTTTCAAGGTGCTTAGCATATGACTTCGAAGCAAATTATTTATTTTCATGGTTATTTAATAATGATTGTGGTGATGGTTTTAGTTGTAGCAGGTTAATTTTATTAGTTTTCCAATCTATTATTTGTTTTATTAATTGATGAAAACAGAACAAGGTTTCTTAGTACTTTGAAAGTTATTGGTCATTAGTGATATTGAATTTATGAGATTGATAAAAATATAGAGTATGAGTATGATTCATATATTGATTCTGATAGTGGAGTACGTTTATTAGGTGTAGACAATCATATTATTTTACCACCTCGCGCATTCATTCGTGCCTTAATTGTTTCTAATCACGTTCTCTGTTCTTGGGCTTTACCGTCTTTGGAAGTCAAAACAGATGCTGAATTTGGGCGAATAAATCAATTTATTTTTAGTGTTTTGTTAAATTGAATTATTTATGGGCAATGTGCAGAAATTTGTGTGCGTAATCATTCGTTTATGCCTGTTGTGGTGGAGTATCTTTCTTTGATGGATTTTAACGGTTATTAACGTAGCTTAATTAAAGTTTTAGTTTTCTATTCTAAATGTTTGTTAATACATGATGAATCCTTTGCATTTATCAAAATTGAGTTCGTGACTATGGTTTTTTGCTTTTATTGTAATGTTTTCTTTTATTAATTTTTATATGCTAGTAAAGCTATAAGGGACTAAATGCTGTTTCCGACAGGAATAGTGGCTAACGATCCTGAATTTCCGATTCAGATCACTGCTAAATCACAGCTCTTCTATTTTACCACAAAAAACTAAAGCTATTTTAAAAGCATGAAGTAAAAAAAGCAAATATTGATTGAATTTGGATGATACATTAGAATACAATGCTAATTCACAATTCTCAGAAAAAGCATAACTTCGTTTTCTCTTAAAATATCAGCATTCGACAGAGCATAAAAAGTTATTTATTTGATATAGATTTCTCATTGCTTTCAGCTTTCGTTCAGTTACAATGACAAAAATTTTGGCTCAGTTGCTAAAAGACAAACTTGTTTTTGAAGTTTTTTTGTCACGGTCGATAGTTTGTTTTCCGTAGCAACAAACTTCTGGTAGGCTCGAGAAACAGGTGTCATCAATCTTTATGCAAGAGAATATAGTATTTCATCATCGCCATCGTCAGAGTTTAAATCCGATACATCAGTTGCATTTTCGAACAGATCGATATATGAACCTGATGTTTGTCTGAGATATTTACTATCGTGACGCGCAATATCCAGGTATCAAAATTATGCTGGGAATGTGACTACAGCAGCCTGTAGTACCGACAGGACTACTGCAGCACAATTCAAGAGCCGTGATGTCATCGTATTTAATTAGAATATCATAAAATTTTCCAGTCAACTTGGAGTGGATGTCAGCACTCAACAAGGTTTGGCCTTCATAAATCACGTATTCTTCATCTTCCGAGATATGCTCATTAGAGTAACTTTTGAACTGCTTTATCTGGAAGACCTTAATGGTATCTGCAGCAAACTTTCCTCAGTGAGTGGTGGAAAATGGGGAACAGAATTCTTGGCATTGATGTTAATCAATTTCGAGTGTTTTTGAAATCTTTAGCAGCGAGTTTTTGTTCAAGTTCATTCTTTTCATTCTGCCTTTCTAACTTAATCTTTGCTACCTGTGGTTCTCTGGATATATCTTGCACAAATAGCGGGCGGTATGCATTAATCAATGCATAGACAATACACAGGTAAGCATGCACCTTCTGCAAACTGCTACTAGGTACTACCTTAGCCCCATTATTTAATTCCCCCATTAACACATTCAGTTACATATTGAACTATTGTGACAAACGGATTCAGAGCCTGAGCTGTAGTCAGTTGCTTTTGTCCTTTAAGTAGAAAACTCGGCATGTATACTTGATATCCAGAAGTGTTTATTAATGGAAGAACATCTCTAAAACCGTGACAAGGACGAGAGTACCATCTGTTTTTAGTCAGTCAAAAATGTCTTCGTTGTTATTGAGGAGAATGTGTCTGGTTATTGAAGTCATTATTATAATAGTCAGCCAAATATGGCCATGTGACGCCGACAATGTAACCGTCTGATGCAGCTACAGTCATAGGCTTCAAAAGTGCGCGTCCTGTATGAGAGGTAAAGAGGTGTTACTGTAAAATGTTATCAGTGCTCTGTTGACAATAAATGTAAACTTGCCATCTAGGATGAGCTCAACCGCGTACTTTCCATTACATAAACGTTTTTTCGCCAAAGGACGCGTATAGCCTGAATTATTTCCTTCCCAGACATATGATTAAACTGGGAAATCAGCAGACAAAAATCTCGCAGAAAAGTGCATTATATGTGCTTTCGAGGGAATCATGGAAGTACGCCAATATGGCTTTCGTTAACTAGACGTTCGCCAATTGGCGAGGGGCCATGAGGCGTACTGGCGAAAGTCGACTTTGCATTCGCCAATTATGACTCGAGTTATTGTCCCTAAATGCAAGTCATATCCATTTTTAGGGTTAGTTCTCATATGACATAGGTATTTTAATATTCACATATCACGCACTAGCATAGAAAGCAACTAATCATCATCTGACGAGAATGATGACAACAGAGATACATCTTGTTGTTTCTTTTTTCCACGTTTTTTACGAAGCACTGGTGCATCACCCAAGAACGAAAAGGCCGCGACAACTTCTTATAATGTTTTCTTTTTCATGTCCAACAGATTTAG